TAGCCCTTAATTCCGGCAAGCCCTTTGCCAAGCATACTAGCGTGCTCTTTTGTGTTTTTGCTATGGCTATCTGGCATCCAACTCCAGGATAATAGAACAAACCATCTTGATTATAAAAAGACCGTGTTCTGCATTTAAAAAGGGATGTTTTAATTTGAGTAGGTGGCAGCTGCCTCTTTTTAAGAGTCTCCCTCCCTCCCTCCCTCCCTCCCAAGCTATGCATGCTTGGCAGTCACCTTGGATTAGTCATTTTTCCATCTCTTCATGAGGGCACAATGATGCCTTAGTTGCTTCCAAGGAAAGCATCCAGCTTGGGGAATTAGGCTATTGCCTGACAAGAGACAGTCTGGAGTTAGAAGCAACTACTGTAAGACCTTCTTCCTACCATTTGGTTTGGTATATTGGCAATTGCGTGATACTTTGTTAGGGAAATGTAGTAGAAGCTGAGTCACTCAAGTGCTGCAACAGAAAGGAGAGCTTGTGCCCAATGCAGGAAGTGGGGGAGGTCCAGGAAACATTTAAGGCCAGCATGTGCACTTCTGGAGGTTCAAGAAAGTCCAGTCATGTTCTTTAATTTACCCTAAGGGCTGAAAGAGACCCCCAGTCCTCAGAGGCTGAAGAGAACCTTTTGCATTATCCACAACTGTGGAGTTCCCCAAAAGTTCCATTTGATCTCTCTCCAGCCAGTTATAAAATCTGTAGCAAGTTTTTGTTAATTTTAATATTCATGTTTTAAGGCATTATATTTTTAATGTTGTTGACTGACTTGAGAGCTCATCTGAAGAGAATATAAATTGCATCGTAAGTTTGGCCTTTTCCTGGGAATGCTATCTAAAACAAGATTATTTGAATTCAGGTATCTACGGAATAAAAGGTGAAACTCCCTTCAACAGTTTTAGTGTCATTCATGTGTGCATGTTGTATAATTTTTTTTTAATTCCACTTTTCATTTAGAAGATTCTGGCACATATCATTGTTCATGCCTATATGTGCTCATTCACTCCTCTGTGTTGCACAACTGCTGCTTTCTCCACCATGGCATCAGTTTGCATTATTGCACAACCCTCTTACCTTTTTTGCACCCTGGAGCAATAGGAAACAAGAGAGCATAACGTGATTCTGAAGACCTGATAAATACCATTAAAGCTATCTCCCTCCCAAGATACTTAATTATAGTGCACTAGCATCAGCTTGTGCTCTGAGAACTTTTTATTTTCTTTATCTCTTGCAAGATTATTTTATTTTCATACAGAGAAAGTTTAGTCCCATGCTTCAATGCTATGTGGCCAGAAGGGGCACTATAACAATTATTATAATTTTTTACTTTGCTGGAAGGGCAGTACAGGTTTGAGAACCCTTTCCATCACAAACCAGGGCTAGGTGGAAGATGCCAGATGGGTGCCCTCTGGAAGATAGGTGGAGGCAGGAACCAGGGCATGAAGATTCAGAGGGCTTCTGAAAGAGGAGGTTTTAATCCTCTATCCCCTGGGTCCATCTGTCTGCTGCATAGTAACATTTTGTCAGTGCTGCTGCTTATTTAATATTATAGCAAATCTTTAATGGACAAGTGTGAATATATAGGATTTCCATACTAATACACTATTTTACAATGTTGAGGGTACTTCAGAACTACAGATTAGACAAGTCAGGATGGATTAGTTTTATGTGTCAGCTATAATTGCTGTAAAGGTAAATATGTTACTGAGCATTTGAGATACAGCTAGTTACAGAACTATTGAATAAGCATTATACTTTCTGGGTTCTTCCAGATGCTAAATATGAGTTTGACATCTGCTTCACATCTGTGCAGAAGAGGGCCATCCGAACCCTCTGGACTGTGCTGGATATCCTTGATCAAATGTGGGTGCCAGTAGTGAGGACCTGGCGTCTCAATGAAAGGCATTATGGTGGCCTAACAGGCCTTAACAAGGCTGAGACAGCTGCTAAACATGGTGAGGCTCAGGTCAAGATATGGAGGCGTTCCTATGATATCCCTCCACCTCCAATGGAGTCTGATCACCCTTTCTACAATACCATTAGCAAGGTAAGATGTAGAAGTACTAATCTGTTAATCTGTTGAAGATAGCTGTTGCTTTGAGGGTGGGGAGAATTATTTTAAAGTAATTGTCACGCTGTGGAACCCTGTGATTAGAATATAATTACAGTGTAACTTCAATTTGCCCTCTTGCTTAGCTCATTTTCAACCCAAACAATTGATTTATTATAGTTCATTTTTATCTCTTGTTTGACCCCTACTTATTTAGTAATCTCACCAGCCCACTGTTTTGGGCAGCAGTAGCCTTATTCCTAGCTTTCTGTGCGATGTGATTACATTGCTGTGAGTTTTGAACAGGATCTTAGAAGACAGATTGCTTTCATGCAATTATTCATTGACGCTGGTCTTTTCATGGATGTTTGTATTCTGTGGATGGGAACAGTCAAGTATTCTCAAACTGGCAGGAATTTTCCACCTATGCAATGTTTGTTGATGAATTAAGAAATAGCTAGATGCTGGCCACATGCCTTTTTAAAACTGTAGTAGGTTTTGCATGTACTGTTGCATTATAACTAATGTAGGATACTAGTTAAATATTTAAAGACTAATCACCAGAGAACTACATAGTACAATTAAATTGTGAACTGGGTTGCTAAAGAGGCAGCCAACCCAGATAAGTAAGTTTGGGTATGAATCCAATAATAGTGAATGATACTGAAAGTAATTTTTCAGTGGTTCAAGATGGTAAAAAGTCAAGGCATTATTTAGTATTATACAACTTCATTAACAAGGCATTATTTATTTATTGCCTAACATATGGCTGGCAATAATTACTAAGTCACAGTAGCACTGATATAAAAAGGTCACTGAGCAGGGATTACAAAAATTACAGCAGCCTATATGAGCTCTGAAGTGCCTACTGTATGGTATCAGGTGAGCAGGTAGCTTCAGATCCAATTTTTCTAAAGCGTTTTCTGAAATGAACGTAGTCTATAATCTAACAAGTCTTGAGAAAACATGAATCAATCACTGTGATTAAATTGCCGTTACCTTTCCTTCCCCAGGATCGCCGCTATGCTGACCTCACTGAAGATCAGCTACCTACATGTGAGAGTTTGAAAGATACCATTGCCCGGGCACTGCCCTTCTGGAATGAAGAAATTGTTCCTCAGATCAAGGAAGGCAAGCGGGTACTCATTGCTGCCCATGGTAACAGTCTCCGAGGCATTGTTAAACATCTAGAAGGTGAGTATTCTGCTTGTAACTTGGGAACAAAAGCAGGTCCTAATCTAAAAATAAGTTGGTTGAACCAAAGTTCTCTGGTAATAGGTCCTGAACGGGGTAATATAGTCAAGCTTCTTACATGATTTGTACCTTACTCTTTGCAGGAATGTCTGAGGCAGCAATCATGGAACTCAATCTGCCCACTGGAATACCAATAGTCTATGAGCTGGACAAAAATTTGAAGCCTATCAAGCCTATGCAGTTCCTGGGAGATGAGGAGACTGTCCGCAAAGCTATGGAAGCCGTGGCAGCTCAGGGCAAAGTCAAGAAGTGAGGGCAGGCAAAGTAATCAGTAGAGTAACCCCTTTCCCCTTCCCAGCACATGCCTCAAGGGACTGGGCTGAAGAGCCAGGGATGGTGAAGCTTATGGGGGCCATGGCTTATCCTTCCACATTCACATTTCTCCAGCAGGATCTGGCTAGATATTTTAGAGGTGTGGACCATAGATCAGCAGGGTTACTGACAGAAACAAATCCCAAAGCAATGAAATTCAATGCTGCTGAACTGAAGGGGAGATCAAGGTTTTCCCAAAAGGGAGCTTCTGCTGTCTTCATTTCATGTGAAGAGCTCCAGTTAGTCAAGTATTGCTTCATTTGGTTTTGCCATTCAGGATGGTTGCAAGGACCATTTATTTTTCATGAGATTTTTTTTTTTTTAATTTTGTAGAAGCAGCAAGCCACTTCACTTGAATAATTTTTAAGCTGTGTTTGGACCTATAGTCTGATTATGTGTTGAGTACCAAAAGCCAATTCTTATTTCGTTGCCTTCTGAATGCTAGAAAGGAAGGGTGAGGCTAGAAGGAATAGCTCCCACTCTGGAATTTCCACCTGTGATCCAATAACTTTGTGTAGTGCCAGTAAACCCAGATACCGTGTATCATCATGTTGCTTTTCTACCCCATAGTCTGTGTGGTGTCCCTGCCTCATATGTGGCAGATTTACACTAGAGCTCACTTCACTGTACAATGGCTGAATTTGCCCTAGTCTCAGTAAAATAAAGGAATTATGTGCAATAGCTGCTGTGTCTGTGTTACTTGTAAGAGAGGCTTATTAATAAGAAGAAATCTGTAACTCTTCCAGTAAAAAACATCACCTGGGTTGCCAATTTTAGGTGAAACCAATCTCGTGTGTGTGTGTGTGAGACTCAAACATAAGGGTACATATGCACGACTATACATACCTGTCGGAAACCACACTCCAAAAAGGCATGACCAGGATAAAAAGTAATTGAATAATTACTGATTAAAAGTCCTTTTCTATACAATAAAGTATCATATTTATAAAATTATCCCTATCTGCATTTTCCAACCATTCTTTTTCATATACGCTTAACACATAGAAACATGGTATTATATCTACACATTCTCATACTGCCTTCTAGCAAGAACAAAGAAGGAAGAAAGTGTGGATGAATTGGATAGCTGCATTGGGAAGAGAAAAGGACAAAAGTCTGGATGGAGATGAAGCAAGGAAAAAAAATAGCTGAACATGAAAGGCAAGAAAAGAACAAGCCCCATTAAGATTTACAAGAAAAAATATTTGCCAGATAAGCAGAGAGAATGAGCTCTGAATTCCTCAAGTTAATTGGTGATGGGTAAATATTTGGGAAAAACCCAGCATTTGTGTGGCCCCTGACATGCTACTCCAGGACTATACACACACTTAGGCTGAAAAACATTATGCACCCCAGATATCCATGGTGATGTCAAAAATAAGATGTGTACAGGAAATACAAGGACATGGATAGGTGGAAGAAAACATGTGGGACTTTATTGAAAAAATCATGCTCAAATAATATCTTTTGCTTTCACCTCTAGAAAATATTCGAAAGCTTGAGCCTTAGAAGAATGCTAGAATGTGCATTATTTGGGTCTTTGCACATCTCACTATCATATATACTGTCAAGAGATACATAGTTGCATAATTTTATATGCCAGAGACTGGCTGAGTGCCACTTCTTCAGTGGATTGGCAGGAAGTTGCATCACATCTCCTAAAAACATTAAATTTTATGTAAGTCTAATGTTTCCATAAGCCAAAATATAGTTTAACCTTTTTCTCAGTCAAGTTCCTAGTTTATATCCAATCTTTTTGTGACACTGAGACAACTGAGGTTCAAAAGGACTTTAACAATGCATATTTCAAGAGAAATAGATGGATATTGATTTAGGCTTACTTTTTGAACAGGCCAATGTCTTGTAATTTACAAAGAAAAATGCAGGCAGGTGTCCTTTATGGGTTGTGGGTTGGGTTTTTTTGTTTGTTTTTTTGCTCTTCCAAAGCAGAGTTTAGCTGCTTCAACTGAAGGCAGAAATCAGAGTGAAAAGTTTATTGATTTACAAAACAAAATTAGGATACAAAATTGAAAGTAAAAGGTTCTAATCATGATGTTCTTCACCAAAAACCTCTCCAACATTCTTGAAGCCACAGTAGAAACAGCTGCTTTCAAGTTCCTCTGGTTCTTTTCCTAGGATTAATCTTTTCTGGTACCAATCACGCGTCTTGGTGTATGCATCATTCACTATGTTTGCAGAAATTGAGGCTGAACTCGGGCTACTTTGCGCAGCTCCTTGCCATGTGTACTGGGACACTGCATTTCACACCAACTGATTGGCACCATCTGTACTCCTGAGATCAAAAAAGAAGTCAATATTTATACAGACACAGCCTCTTGGGGAAAAAAGAGTCCTCCACTTATGAAAATTCCCTGCAATTAATTTCTGCTGTTGTCAACTACCTGCCCATCTTTAAATTCAGTTATTCCAATTCAAAAAGACTTTCCCATATGATACATGGCTTTCACCTAGAAACTGAAGAATAGCTACTTGTGTGGACTGAATATTATTCTAGATCTTCCCATTTAGATATAGTGATGTTAAGAGCGTACATGATTTCTACAAAATCACATCTGCAGAAGGTTGAAGCTTAAAGGGTGCCAATGTGTATGTTTCAGTCATGTTTTTTCAGCTTCAGAATATAATTGTCCTTGTGCAAAAGGAAGGAACATAAAGTTGTCTTATTTGATCAGGGTTAAAATGGGACATGTTATTTTGGGTGGTTCTTTCTGGACTTACATCTGGACTGGAAAATGTGTGTTGGACTTGCTTATACTTAAGAGTTGAGATATGGAATGATTAGTTTTATATTTATTAACTATTATTATTTTAGTGCTCTGTTTGGACTTTTTACTGACACTTGGATTAGAAATGACATTGCTTACTGGACTTACCTATAGTTAAGAGCTGAGTTATGGGATGAAGAGTATTATATCTATTAAGAAGAGGTAAAGAGACTGAAATTGTTCATACTTGTTGTAATGAGGGTGGGAAGTTGCTTTCTTATGTTTTTTTTCCTTTCTTTTTTTCTTTCTTGCACTTCTACTTTCTTTCTATTTTTCTTTTACTTTTTAGTTTGTATTATCTTTTATTATTGCAATTAAAACTTTTAATAAAAATATTAAAATAAACATTTAATAAAAATTGTTTTAAAAAAAGAATATAATTGTTCTTACCTGCTTCACTATGAGCCACCACTACCCCTAGCTCATTTTCTGCTGTGGTCAGCAAGTAATTAGATTGTGCATCCCCTAAAGAGATCTAGTCCCACTGGTTAAGGGAAAATGTCTGAAAATTTCCACATAAAACCACAAACCTAGGCATAAAGGCAACAACACAAAAAGGATACAACTTTGGCCAAAACAATATCTCCTGGACGGAAACTCTTGTAAACCTCTACCTATCAGCATGTGAAGTAGAGGCAAAGAGAAAGGGAACGTTAAAATGCTAGGGCAATTTCAAGGGACACATGTCCTCTGGCAAATAGAGCAATAAAACAAGACCAGTTTGGATAAAGGTTTGAAATATCCAAGACATTTTTTAAAATTTTGAACTAAGATACAGGTAGTCCTTACTTAATGACAGTAATTGAGACTGGAATTTCCATCGCTAAGCAATGTGGTCATAAAGTGTGATATCATGTGACCACACCCCTTAGCAACGGCATTTTCTACTTACCATCATTAAGTGAATCGCCGTGGGTCATTAAGTACAGTAAGGATCTCATGTGATCCCAACTTCCAACTTCCTGCTGGCTTTCCCACAGACTTTGCTTGTGGGAAGCCCGCAGGAAGATCGCAAATCATGATCACGTGACCATGGGGGCACTGCAGTGGCCGGAACTTCAAGGACCACTTGTAAGTACCACTTGTATTCTTATTCTAGGAATCAAACCACTGCCCCAAATACATGACTGCATTAATTTTTGTTTCTAACAAGTTTTTAGCCATCACCAGAAAATTATACCAATAGATGTAGAATAAAATGATTGAATATATCTGTATGTTCATATGCACTAATGTCAGAAAAAAAAATCTGCTTCTCTACCACATTTTCCTCATTTGATACAACCAAATATAAAGCCCACTGACCTTGTCTTTCTCTGTAGCTCGGATATCTTCTCTGCTATAATGGAAGAGAAGATGAAATCTTAATTTTGCCATTTTCTTCTCTCCCCGCTACAGCCAATCTTACAGGACAAGTGACTGCATCATGAATAGTGTAATTCAGAAAGAACAGTTAGCTAATTTATATGAAAAGATTATAGATAGCCTGCAGACAATTAGAACCAACAATACCAACTCCTTAATTCTCATTATCACTCAAATATCAATGATGAGAATAAGATGGAGTATTAACATACTGTAGTTGGCTTACTCTCTCACCACTAATGCCACCTTCAAAGGATGCCCTCAACCAAGATTTCTTCATACCGTATTGTTCCACGGAATGGGGATTTTAACGGTGTAGAACCAACATATAAAATGTGCACCTTGGCAAAACGAGAATTAATGCTGCAAACCTGGAAGGGGAAGCAAGGGGAAGAGAGAAAGCAACTTTTAGCAACTTTCAGCAATGATCTGTTTTCTCTTATAACTTCAGGATTCTAACTGATAATACTATCAGTTCTACATAGTGAAAATATCCAAGCTAATTTCCAAGGTGGAATATGCAAGCCTTTTTCTTTCTGCAACATCATGCTGTGCCTGCTAGAGAACGAATACAGGGACTAAACAATTAAAAACCATAAGTAAAAACAAATGTCGTCAACAACATTGACAATATAAAATGGTCATAGTTGTGAACTAGGTTTTATATACTCATATTTATTGAAAGGAAAATGATCCTAAATTTAACCAAGACAAGAGGAAGATGAGACAAAAACCTAATTTGTTTCATGTATCGTATTGTTAGCAAATCTAATATGACCTTCCAATTTTAAAGATGAATTATCTGCAGGATAATTATCTGCAGGAGAAAAAAAAACTAGTCCCCATTTATAGGTAAATATAGCATTCCATCCATATGTACTACCTTTTATTTTCTTGACACTAATAGCTGAATTAAAAATAACACAATGAAATTATTAGCTAGAGCTACTGAGGCTACCTTGCATGTCACTGTGGCTCCCACATCAGGCAGCAGCTGAGATTCCACATCTCTCATCACGGAGACTACTGGGAGCTGGAGGGGGTTGCAAAACTGGCATTATTCACCCACACATTGTTTCAGAGTATTGAGCTACCACCAAGAAATAAGTTGGTTTCAAACAGGACATCCTCTTCTGGACTGCCAGGATGTCATGTCATTTAGCACATGCAATCCTTTTCATTAACCCTCCCACTGTCACCCATAACACATATAGCTACGTAGAAATGCTTGAGTCTCACCATGCCATTCTCACTTTTCTTCATGAAACAACCAGCCAGAGAAGCAAAGATAGAACCATGGCGTGTGTAGGTGCCATTCCCAGGAGTTCCTTCCTCTAAACTGCAGAGTCGTTCTCCTGTGAGACAGAACACAAGCCAAAACTAGCTTACTTACCCACTGCCACCTCATGTTCTAAATACTCATGCTTGATTGCTCTCACATAGCTCCTCACTAGAAATTACTGCCTGTGTCTCTCCTCACTAGAAATTACCTCATGTGCATGAATCTGTGTGTGAGACAGATAAATACTGTAGTCAGAAGAAATGAGTAAAGAAAAAATAAGAACACAAGAATAGCCTGACTGGATCAGGCCAAGGCTTATCTTAATCCAGCACTTTGTTTCTCACAGTGGCCAAGGAGAAACCACTGAGGCAGAAGATGGCCATACCCTTCTCCTACTGTTGCTTCCCTACAGCTAATGCTAGGAGGCATGTAGTCCCTAGTCTGGAGGTAACAAAACATCTCAAGACTGAAAGCCTTTGATTAACATCATCTATGAATATATCTAATCCCCTTTTAAAACATCCAAATAAATGATTGTTGCCATGTAGTCCTGTAATTAATTCCACAAATTAATTTTGCACTATATAAAGAAGTGCTTCCTTTTGTCAGTTCTAAATTTCTTTCCAGTCAGCTTTGTTGGATGGCTCCAATCCTAGTATTCTGAGGCACAGAGAAACTTTTGCTTTTCTACTTTCTCCATGGTATGCATGATTTTGTACATCTTAATCATGTTCCCACTCAAGTGCCAGAATAAAGAGTCCTAAATGTTCTAGCTTTTTTTCCATAGGTAAGATGTTTGATCAGTCTGCTTGTTTTTGCAGCCCTCTTCTACACTTTTTCCAGCTCTTTTATATCTTTTTTCCCCAAACATATCAACCAGAGTTGTACACAGTATTATAGATGCATACCAAAGACTTGTCTGTGGGCATTACAATTTGCCAGTTTTATTTTCAGTCTGTTTCCTAATGATCCCTAGCATGAACTTTACCTTTTCACAGCTGCATCACAGAGTTGATATCTTCACTGAGTTATCCACCATGATTCCAAGATCAGTATCAACTAGGATTTCATGTGTGTGTGTGTGCGTGCATTTATTTATTTATGGTTTCTTGCCCCAAAGTGCATCTTTTACCCTAATTTAAATTGTACCACACTTGATTGAGTATTCATCCATTTTAAATAGATCCTTCTGGAGCCCTTCATAATCACTTTTGGTTTTGACTATTCTGAATATTTTAGTATTATCTGTAAACTTGGCCAGTTCAATAATTATGCTTAAGATTATTAATGGACAAGTTTAAAAGCACTGGTCCCAGCATAGAATCTTGAAGAACCCCACTTCTTACTTCCCTCCACAGAAAAAAATGACCATTTATTCCTAGTTTCTGTTTTTGATTTTTTAATCAATTAGCGATCAATAAAGGAATAGGTTCTCTTATTCCCTGGCTGTTAAATTTACTCAAGAGCCTTGGATGTAGAACTGTCAAATGTTTTCTGAAAATCCAAGTACACAAAATTGTTTTTACTTCATGATGCATAATTAACTTAAAGAATTCACTACTGTAAGACAATTTGTGGACACCAAATTGAAGGCTTTAAAGTGAGATTAGAAAAATTTGTGGAGGATTAACTATCAACATCTTAAAAGGACCTGAGGATCAGTGGCAGTATGTGTCTGAATACCATGGAACAATTAATCATGCTCTGATTGAGAGGTTTCCTGAAGCATCTAACTAAACCACTGGAATGGAGACAGGCTGCTGGATTAGATGGTAAGAATATTCTCCCTAGAACTTTGAAGGGTCCCTTCGCTAGATTTTCAGACAGGGCTGAATGGCCACTTGTTGGGGAAAGTAGGGGATTCCTGCACAGAACAGAGGGTTGGTCTGGATGACCTATCAGATCCCTTCCAGTTCATACATTCTACGAACTAAAACCGATTCCGACGGCCAGCACCCGTATGATCATGGTCATCCGTCTCCTACAAGCACAGACAGATCCCGGAGGAGCTCCAAATTCTGCATTTTCTTGCCATGGGGCTAAACCAAATGCCAGACATTTCACCTACAAGACGCCCCGGTGAGGAGCCCAGGAAATTCGCGCGCAACCGAGGAACGACCCTCTTACACCAGCCCCCAGCCCACCCTCTCCCGGTCACCCACCAGGAACACAGTAGCGTGCAGGAACCATGCCGGGCGACGGAAAAGACTTCACATTAGGCCGCCGCCTCCTTCCCGTGGGTGACTGGAAGTAGCCGCTTCATTAGGCGTTTCTGCTCTCACATGACTTCCTTCAAGCACGCGTTCTTCTGAATACCAGCCCCCGACCGTGTCACGGATGTTGCCGAGTAACTGTAACTGGGAGGCCGGCGGAAAAGAATAGCCCCTGAAGCGCAACGAATGATGGGAACTGTAGTTTCATTTAGCTGAGCCAGCGTGTAGTCGCGCATGTGCGAGTGAGGATAAAAAGGAGGAAAGAAAAAAAAAGATGCTGGGAAGGCTGCAATAATCGAGGAGAGATCTGTAGAGTGGGATTGACTGAGCCCAGAAAATGGCAGCTCCAGGTGAGGTGGGGAGGGTTGGAAGGAAACCGATTCCACAGTGATGTCTGCTGATAAACGGCCATCCCCCCTCTTTGGAAGAGACTGAGTTCCCCCGGCTGGCGCCTCCAGAAGTTCCTGCATTGCTGTTCAGGGCTTAGCGTTCTTGCCGAAGTCTCTGATATCCCCCGTGCGTTTGCGTTGATGTTGCTTGTTGCTGTGAAACGAAGCTGGGATGAGGTCTCCTTCGCTGGCAAAATAATTGCCTAGCTTTCTCCTTGAAATGCACGTTGGCAAGACCTCTTTAGGATGCTTCGTTTTCTCGCTTTTGTAAATGGACGAGTGGCCGAAGCAGACGCAGTTCCACTCCTTAAGCCTTGGCCTTCCTCAAAGATTCTGTTGAACAGATGCGATTCTTCTTTTCTTTCTCCTTCTCCACCTCCGATTTTTGTTGCCAGAGTCATACGTGTAGCCATTAAGTAGCTGAGCTTTGCACAGAGGCGGAGTTACAGTCTGAGCACACCTTCTTCAACTTCAGAGTTAGGAAGTATAACAACCCTTAGAAAAGGTGCATTGGCTCTTCTTTGCAGGTTCCACTATGTCCTGGGTATCTTGGTGTTAATTTGGTTAGTAGCAGACAAAATACTTGAGTGTGCTGTATTTTGTATTAATGTATACTTACATTATTTTATTCTGTAGCCTACTTGTGCTTAATGAATTAATGTAAGCATTTTGTCCTGTAAGAGTTACCAGAGCCCTCTAATCTTTCTTCTAAATCTCTTACTACAAGCGAACTAATTGAGATCTGTTCTTTATAAATATTATACAGCAATTATACAATGATCTGTCAATGTTGACAATGTAACCTTTTACACCTGAGGGGCATTATTGTATTTAAAACTGGCAGTGGGAGGCCGCAAAAGTTGAGATAGTGATGTAATGCAAGCAGACAGATTTGGATTTTTCAGGGTAGTAGAATTTTTTGTTTACAGGTTTCAGGTTTCCACATTTTTGTTTGGTTTCTTCTGGAACTTAGCAGAACTTTGGTGATTTACCATCAAACTTCAGAAGTGTGATCCCTCAATACCAAAGAGAAAATTCCAGGTCCATATGCAGTGATAAGGTTAAGAACAAATAATATGCTTTCTGCTGACACCAGAACTCTTCTTTGAATAAGAACTGGGAGAAGAAAGGGAGACATTAAAATCTTGTTGGCATAAAACCAGTAACAGTTGCTGCAGTTTTAGGGAGAAACTTGTAGGTCTAATTTTACATCGGCTAAAAATTAGTCTGTCACAGCATCACCTTACTAGGATGCTTTTGGCTATCACAGAGGACTTCCCAGAGTCATTCTCACTTAATATTAATTGGCCAAGATCAGCTTTCTGCAAAGCTGATCCAGCTCAAGTTCCTTCTTGCTTTTTGATTAGCAGCAGCTCGATGCTGGAGTTCTACAAACAGGTAGAAGTCATATTTTAATAATTTGGCCTTCCTCAGTGGCCATAGGCTAGTTTAAATGGAATGATTGGCTCAAGTAAGGCAGAGATGCCAAGGAGGAGACTAGATTTAAGAGGGATTAGTGATTATCTTTTCTAAATACCAAAATATTCATAGAGATAAAAGCATGAATGAGGGAGAGCATTTTTTTTAAAAAAAATTCTAGCTATATTACTTGTCCTTAAATTTTAAAGTGCTCTATACAGTATATCCTATTCAAGGATGTTGGGCTAAGTTCCAGTTATCTCTTACCAGTCTAAATGATGTTCACATTGACTGGAGATTATGGAGAACTGATGTTCAGTATCTCTGAGAGGTGCCTAATCCTGGATTAAAATTCCAGACCATGCCAGTTCCATCAGCTCTAAAAATATATTTGCTATATTTTTAGCTTCCTCTGATTTAGTCCTTTGTTATGCTTCTCTGCAGTTGTGCAGGAGAAAAAGAAACCCAAGCATAATCATGAAAGATGTGCTTTTGGGCAGTTGGGGAGAAAGATCTGGGCACCTCCTGCACTCTGAATTCAATATGTGGTCACACAAGGCCTCTTGCTGTTCTGCCTGGGAAAGTAAGCAGAAGCATCAGCAAAGTCACAGAGGGGTATCCTTTATTATTGTGTTATTATCCCCATTGGTATTATGGAAGAGAGCATAACTGTTCCACTAATGCTGCGCTGGAGACATCCAGAGTGAGAATGATTCCACAGCCACAATGCTAACCATGATTGCAAAGATTTCTTCACATGCCTGGAGTGATGCATTACCTAACAAGATGATGATGGAGCAGTACCAAGAGCACTGATCTGAATGTCTGGTACCAAAGTTTTCCTGACCAACCCCTGTCAAATACTTGCTGACACTGCCTCCTTTTTTCCCAGGTTCTGAGCAGCAGGAATGAAAAGTCGCCGGCGGATGTACTCCGCTGTCATGCGCCTCTTCCTGAAGTGTTTGCGGATAGGTCAGCGGCGCCGGTTCTGGCTGACCCAGCAAGTGGAGCAACTGTGGCTATATGGGCGTCTCTGTTTGTGCTCTCTCTTTTACAACTCTTTTGCTGATAGTGACACAGCTCTTGATGCCCTCTTTGAGCCTATATACTGGCTGGTGGATCATGTCACTCGATGGTTTGGGGTGGTGAGTATTTAGAAAAACAGAATTGGGAGCTTAAGGAGAGATACTTTTGGTATTAATGTATGGAGTTACAGTTCCAATTTTCAAGCTACATACGTAGCTATTTCAAACTGCTAAGTAAAGTCAGGAGATTAAAGAACCTTGAAGATGTGGGCAGATGTGGCATTAGTACTTCATAGAATCTGTTAACTACTGTCTCTCTTCGCTCCCCAGAAAACAAGTAGGGCTTAATAAGGAAATGTATCCACCACATGCCCTTTCTCTTCCAAAGGGCTTACCTGGAATATAATGTCTTGCTGGCTCAAATTCCCTTATCTCTTTAACAGGTGTTTGTGGCTCTGGTGATTACATTGACCAGTTCTGTGGTGGGCATAGTGTACATTTGCCTCCTACCAATCATTCTGCAGACCTACCCCATTGCCTGGATATTCTGGCATATTATCTATGGCCATTGGAACCTTGTCATGATTGTCTTCCATTACTACATGGCTATCACTACTCAGCCTGGTTATCCACCACAGGTAGGACAGAGGTTTTAATATTTCTCTTTAGGCTTTTTCTTTTTGTTTTTAGTATTGTGGTTCATAAGCAGGGCTGTTCAACATGGTTTCCTATCTTTTTTCTCTCTACCTGGGTGTCAGAGTCTGCACACTCAATCCCAAAATCCAGTAAATTCTCTGGAGACCAAAAGTTCCATCAGAGATTTCTTTATTCAGGAGAAGCATACAGCACCATAGTTTGTTGAGTCTAATTCTTGTCCTTTTAAGCCCAAATTCCCCCCCTTCTAGGTTTCCTTTCCCGCTTGCAAATCTTCGCGCCTTGCCCCAGTTCTCACACCTCCTGGCCTTGGATGTCTGCTTCAAGATAGAGATAACGGCACCTGGCCTCCTCTCCCCCCTTTTTATGGCAGGTCAAGCAAACGGGGGTAAACAAAAATTCAACACCTTTAATTTTTTTATCTTTCTATTATTA